ACTATCAAGTGCCTTCAAGAACAAGACAAGACCGAGTCCAAACGCCTTCAAGTCCGAGTCCAAGCGCCTTCAAGACCGAGTCCAAGCGCCTTCAAGACCGAGTCCAAGCGCCTTCAAGACCGAGTCCAAGTGCCTTCAAGACCGAGACAAGCCCGAGTCCAAGTGCCTTTAAGACCGAGACAAGACCGAGTCCAAGCACCTTCAATACCAAGACAAGACCAACTATCAAGCGCCTTCAAGAACAAGACAAGCCTGAGTCCAAACGCCTTCAAGACCGAGACAAGCCCGAGTCCAAACGCCTTCAAGACCGAGACAAGCTCAAGTCCAAGCACCTTCAAGACCGAGACAAGACCAAGTCCAAGCACCTTCAAGACCGAGACTAGACTGACTCCAAATGCGGTTGAGTCCGCGATAAGATCAAGACAGCAAAAAAACATTCTCAGCACCAGTCTCAAGACCAAGACCGGTCTTGAGTACTACAACACAATGTTGTTGTGTGCTCGCCCAAGCATTCTTCTGTGGAGCTAGAATCCACCGCCAACCTGTGAGTCAGTGGATTTGACCACTCAATCAAAAATGTTTATGTCGAGAGCGGGATTCAAACCACCAACCATCATATCAATGAGCAAACACTACAAACTGAGGTACTGACACGATCAACCGAATGATTCTAATGACCACATGACATCACAAGGTGGAACAGAGTGTTTTCAGTCTGAGAGACGAACTGCAGGATTTTGTGATATTGACCAGCAACCAATGAAAAGTTTTAAAAATACGCAACAATACACAAATAGAAAGCTGTAATTCGCACACATCTAAAATGAAAAGCCATGAGTTATGATTGGACAAATATCGACTTTTTTTCTTATCAGGACATCCCCCCAAAACATACATACATCGTCCGAATCGCCCACTTTACAATAACACATAACCTCCTCGCTCTGACCTCTGACCTTAACCTTTGCAGCGGCGTGTTTGTGTGAACCACCTGACACTTTATCAATAAGAGCTATCGATGAGGAGACAATGGACTGGATTCCCAGAGCCTCCTGTGAGACACCAAGGACACAAATGAGACTCAGTTGGCTTATCGCGGCAAATAATGGAATCTACAGAACGGAATTTGAATTTGGACAGAAAATTTTATTAAAAACTGGGTTTTTACTGCAAATACATCACATATTTAGATCACCGTGTTACCTTTTATTGTTTGGAAAATGCCAAATGAGTCAAAAGTCACTCCCCCTTCAAAGCCTTATCACATTAAATTCAGCCTGCATCTCGAGAATGAAACTACTGCACATCGCATCAGGTTTGTGAAGTTGTAGCGTACAGTTTTGTATCATGTTTTTGAATATTCATGGAGAATAGTCGTGTGGGAGCGTGGGTGGTGTAGGTCTGTGGGCGGAGCATCGCACAGAATCTCACAGCTAACCGTAAAGAGGGTTTGAAGAGGACCCAGGAGAGATTGCTAAATTACTCAAACATGCACGGATGACATCTAAAACCTCTTGAGGCTTGGTTTGATTGATGACACCCATATGGAACACAACACTGTGCCCAAACGGTTTCTCTTCAAGCTGATACTCTTATTTGAATGCAATTTTTCTACAAATTAATTAAAATGTGTTAAACAAGGTCATAGAATATTTTTTGTACTCACAATTTTTTTGTTATGTTTCAAGCATTTGGGTACAAAAATATAAATATATTTACAAAGATTCATTTTTAAATTTAAATTTTATTTTATCCATGAGTAATTGATGATACCAATATGAAATATCTGTCCAAAAATGAATTTTTTTTTGGATAACTTCAGTGGCATTATTTGGAATTACGAGTAAGCCTGCTCTTATTTGAATTCATTTTTTTTCTACATGTCAAGAAATTAGTAGAAAATTTGTGTAAAAATGCTATAGATTGTTTTGTCTAATAATTTCTCTATATTGTTGTTAACGTTCAATCTTGAGTAAAAAAAGAAAAAGAAAAATTTTGAGATTTTTTTTAAACTTTTTTTTTTCCATGTTCAGATTTAGAGCTAATTTTATTTTATTATATATTTTATTTATTTATTTATTACTTTTATTATTATTTATTATATATTTTTTTATTTTACTTTTTATTGTTTTTATTTAATTTAATTTTTTTTTACTATGTATCTATCTATTTATTTATTATCTCTTTATTTATTTTGTGGATAGTCTATTACGTAACTCATTAAACCCTGATATTGACCAGTGACCCTGCATGTTACGAGTGCTGTTGTGCTGCTGCTCGGTCCAGGAGCTGGCTGCAGGGAGCACGTTACAGTCACAAAATTAGGTCAGTGGCCCCTGGTGGCGAGGCCCCGGGGCCCGTCCTCTGCACCAACCCGCACGAGGGCATGCGCGAGGGGCCATTACACTCGTCGATACTGGACCGCCTCTGCATCACGGGCCCATTATCCACTTACAGGAGTCTGCTGGGTCTCTGTGGATGAAGATGATTTCATTAGAATTACACTGTGTTCTATCATCTCTCCTTACTGTAAACTTCTGTTAAAGACGGGATATTATGTGTTTTCTTAGCTTTCAGCCATATTATAATGTTCCCGCACCAAAAACATGCCTGAGTAATCTAGCGATCTCTCCCAGGCCCTTTTCAACTTTCCTTAAGGTTAACTGTAACGTTCTGAGGAATGCTTCGCCAACAAGTCTACATCACCCATGCTCCCATCCGACAATTCTCCATAAATATACAAAAACATGATGCAAAACTGTACACTACAACTTCACAAACCTGATGCGATGTGCTCTGAAGGGGGAGTGACTTAGCGCAGGGAGCAAACGAAGGGAGACTCAGAGTTAATACAGTGTCTTTAACCTCAAAAACCGCAAAAAATGTAATCAAAAACATCACATTATTTAAATAAGGGATATTTTACTTGTATGTTTCCAGATTATCAAATTAAAATTCCACACACAGGCATGGTTGATGATACGTAGCGGTTCATAATGACCAACGGCCATTATCGACTGGTGTGTAGCAGTTTCCATCAGGCCTACAGGGATGTGAGTGGAAAACAGAGCTGCCAATAAAGACCCAACCCCAAACACAAGCGCAATGATGTAACAGACTGACATATGGTCGCACAATTTAACACACAAAAGCAAAATTGCAATCTCAAATAACGCATTTATGAAATTACAAAAGCTGCGATTATTTAGGAAAAGAAAGAAAGTAAAAGCTGTGTAAAGAAGTGGACGAAATGAAATGACTAAATCACCCATAGTGTTTGGCTCCAGTCAAATTATGATCACAATGCTAGCGGTTATAAGAGCAAATTTGGAGCCAGGTCTGTATTAAGAAATACAAAAACAAATTAAAAACACCAGGATCACGTAGAGAGGATTAATTTAGAACATTTTAAGACCAAAATGACGAGGCTCATTGCAGCACTTACAGAGAGAGGGACGATAATTTTTCATAAAGTCAATTGGAGCCAGAGTCGATGGAGCCAGAAGCGCTTCCATGCTCGCTTCCTATTTGGAACACTTCCAGCTAGCGGGTTAACTGACATAGTGTTAGTCCTCCGATCTAATCTGAAGGTTGGTGGTTCAAATCCCTCTTGACAAAACATTGACAGAGCTAACCCACACGTTGGCATTGCGTTTCCATCTCCCACAAATGAATGCTGCCGTTGTGTCCTCGGGCAAGACACTGAACCCACCTCACCCCCAGTGTTTCCTTGAGTGTTGAAGTTAGAAAAAGCAATATATAAAAACATAACCCCACAGAAGTAAAAAAAATAAATAAAAAATACCCCCATTTTTTAATTCTATTGATAGTTACCCTAAATCGTAAATTGGCATGAAGTCTACTTTATTTTAACTTTATGCTATAGACTATAAATGTACAAAAGTATTTCAAGTCAGTGTCATTTTCATGCCACAAACACGTAAACAAGCGCACCCTTTAACACAGACCCAGTGCTCCCAACCACCGCTGAGGTCCACACGCTGTTAACGCTCGCCCGCGACAGCCGCATGCTACGCTCCCAAACACTGAGAATCCCCCGTCTGAGACAATAACACATCTGGATTTAGACTCTGCTCTGTCATTTCAACACAAAATGCGAATCCGTGTGAGATGCTACCACAGACAAGAGAACCCAAGTACGTGACCGGCTACGTCCAATGGAAATGCAAAACCAGATTTAAACGTTTGAAGGCAAAAATGGAACTTAAAACACACAAGCCAACACAGTATATAACTGGAGATATTACAGCTAGTTTTCAAAAGTATTTATGCTTGAATAGTCCATAAAGTAAAAGGGACAAAGGAGTCTGTTGTCCTGAGCCCAGAATTGGACCCTTCTCCTATTAGTGTATATTAGAGGGGGGCCCGTTTGAGTCTGCTTGTCCTTGGCCCTCAAAGTTTTGTCGACGGGCCTGGTCCAAAAAGTGATGATTTATTTATTTATTTATTTTTTGTAATATTAATAATTGTAAAAACATTGCCCAGAATTGGATCCTCCTCCTATTAATTAAAAATAGAAGGGGGCCCATTTGAGTATTATTGCCCTGGGTCGCCCAAAGTTCTGTCAATAGTTTTGGTCCAGTGAGATATGTTTTTTTTTGTTTGTTTGTTTGTTTGTTTGTTTTTGTTTGTAATAGTAATAATAGTAAAAAAGATTGCCTAGAATTGGACCCTCCTCCTATGAATTTATATTAGAGGGGGTGAATTTGAGTCTTCTTGCGTTGGGCCCCCAAACTTGTGTTGATGGGTCTGGTCCAAATAGTGACTTTTTTTTTATTTTTATTGTAATATTAATAATAGTAAAAAGATTGCCCAGAACTGGACCCTTCTCCTATTCATTTATGTTAGAGGGGGCCGGTTTGAATCTTCTCGCCCTGGGCCCTCAAAGTTCTGACGACCGGCCTGGTCCAAATGGTGCAATATGTGTTTTTTTTGTTGATGTTGTTGTTGTAATATTAATAACAGTAAAAAGGCTGTACCTGTCTTTAAGAGCGGTCTTCACTGATGAACCAGGCGGACTCAGATCAGCTCAAACCTGCAACACACACACGAAAAAAAAAAAAAGGTCAAGTTAACACCACAATGTGTGTAGAATGCCTCAGTCTTCCAGGTAGAATCCATGGCAAAGGAGAAATTCAATTTGTCAATTGGACAAATGTTTATTTAGATTGAAAACATTCTGCAGCTCATCTTAGCTGCTTCTTTAGTTCTGGTCAGATGCTGGTGGACACTGCCTTATATCTGCCTAAAGGGAAACTACACTGAAAATTACTTTGTGACAGATCTTAGCCAGAGAAAAGAACTGGTTGGAGAGGGGAGTTAAAAAGGCTATTTTTCTTAGGAAAGAACAGAAACAGAGGCCTCAGACATCATCTGTCTCCCATCTACAACTCCATCATCAGACCTAAAACAAAGAGAACAATAAGGGTTGCCAGGTCAGGGCCATATGTGTGAAAGCCTGAATGATTGTACGAATATATCCCCTCACTAAGTACAGATGAATAGGCCTAGCTAACAAACAGAAACTGTAAACAAGTAGGTGCAGTAGTTTCAGAGTAGTTTCAGTGTAGTTAGCTCCCCCCTGCAGACAGATATAAGGCAGTGTCCACCAGCTTCTGACCAGAAGTGAAAAAGCAGCTTGGATGATCTGTGAAACATTTTCAACCTAAATAAACGATTTGTCCAGTTGACAAATTAAATTTCTCCTTTGCCTTAAGACCGCAATATTCCCTATTTCAACACTTTAATATGGATGTAACAATAACTGAATATCGTAATATCGTATCAACCCTCACAATATGGACCATCACAATATATCGAATTACAAGTGTCTTTGCTTAAATGAAGAGTTATGGTGGAGCAATAGCTAAAAAAGACAGAACTACATAGACCATGATCCTTTGCTTCATTTCAGTGTAGACTACAAGAAGAAATAACAGTTGTAAGCACTTTTGAGTCTTAGTTCTTTGGATTAAGTCTTGTCAGGGTATTTTAAAAGGAAAAAGTAGTTTTAGCTGTTTAACCTCCACAAAATATCGCAATAAATATCATACCGTGAGATGTATATCATGAAAATATCGTACCGAGAGATTTGGATATTGTTACATCCCTAATTGTGAGCCTTGCCACCATATCATGAGCTTTCCACAATAAATATTGTATCCTGAGCCTTGGATATCGTTTCACCCCTAGTTAATAATAATGCATTGGAATGATATAGTGTTTTTTTGACACTGGTAAGATACTATTGTAGCCACAGCTGCCCTGGGGTAGACTGTCAGAAGTGAGGCCAACACCAACACTCATAACTTTCAAGCTAGGCCATGTGGGTGAAGTGTCTTGCCTAAGAACACAACAACAGTTTCGGCCACTGGCTCTTGATCCAAAAGTGCATTTTCTGTTCATTTTTCCCCACAGAGTGTTTGAGAAATTGTAATATTAAGAGTTCAAAGACATCGCGGAGGTTCATCTACGTGCTAAGATCCATAATGCGGTTGTTTTAAGTCACGATTCTACGAAATGTCTTAATAACTTGGCGGTTTATAAAGTTCCAGATTCAGCTTTTAAGTACAACGATAGGTCTTGTGGTCTTCAGTTTCCACAGAGTTGATTAGGCCCGAACTTTCAAACTTTTATTTATTTATTTTTTTGGGGGGAAAGCTGACGAGAAAAACGAATGAGAAATTTAGTTCCGTAAATACGCGGTGTACGGTCACTGTTGAGCTCCATTCCCGGCGCTCTCCCGTCCAAGCACAGCAACCCTGCTCAGTTTCTGCGATCGGACAAAATCAGGCTTTGACAAGGACGTACGACCACATTGACCTTTAATGAACATACTATGACACTTTTCCATTTTTTATACTGATCCAAAGCAAATGTTCCTTTTTCATACCTATCCAAAGCAAATAATTGGGGTTTCTAAGCGTATTTTCTTCATCATTTAGTCTCATTTCGTCCTCCAAAGTCTTCAATCTGCTCCAAACCGCATGATTTTAGTGAATGGCTGCAGACCTCTCCATTAAAAAGAATGATGAACAGCACTACTTTTTAATTATTTTTTCATTTATATAGTGTTGTAACCCATATGCTTCATCACTTTGGCTAATTCACAATCCAAACAGACTTATGTTTTACACAGATGTCCACCGTCCGTCTACTAATCTGAATAATCCTCCATTTCGTATCCCATGGCAACACACAACCATCCACACCGCGCTCATTATCCCCCGTGCACACGCTATCGGCTTTTGTATCTTTCGTATTTCGCGTTTGTGTCGCTAATTATTGAATATCGGTGTATAAAAGTCAAGTGTCCTGTGCCAAAAAGCGATCGCGCCAAGAACAAAGCAGATAAACTAATGTCGTCAGGGCGGTTACCACAGCGACCGAGGATGATAATAATCCGATATGAACTGGACGTGTGCGTGATGACGACTGGACTGACAGTTAGAGGAGGAGAGGGTAGACAGCTAAACTTAAGGGTCCCATAAAATTGTATTGATATTTGCAGTTGAGATCATCAGTAGTCCCAAGGTGAGGGGGTGATGCTAACTGAAGGCACTGCTCTGTCAGAAGATCTTTTAGATTTTAATCTCAGCTTCATTTTAACAAAATTATGACTAGAAAAATCTGATTTAGTTGGAACTAAAACAGGAGAGCTGATTTTTATTGTCTCTCACACAAAAAATCACTAGCCATGAACTAGGAGTGTGCAAAAATATCAAAATATCAATATATATCGTATCGTTTAATGTATCAATATCATGGGTTGCTGTATCGATATATCGCCAAGAGCATTTTTTGGTGTATTTTACTAAATTATTTTGTTACAGAGCTACAGTTTTGTTGCTTGACCAGAGCAAGGAAACTTGTTTATGCGACACATTTAACATTTTCACTGTTTTGATGATTAAAATGTTTGTGTTTCATATGAACTTTGCCCAAGAAGTGGTTTAACAAAGACTTATAGTATCACAGACATGATTTAGAATTTATTTTCATGGAATCGATTTGAAATATATTGTATTGAATCATAATGAATCAAAAGCTTACTATTGTCACCTATGTATCAAGGTATGTATCATATCATGGCCTATGTACCATATCGTGACATATATATCGAGGTATGTATCATATCGTAGCCTATGTATCGAGGTAGGTATCATATCATGGTCTGTGTAATGAGGTATATATTATATTGTGGCCTATGTATCGAGGTATGTATAGTATCGTGGCCTATGTATCGAGGTATGTATCGTATCGTGGCCTATGTATCGAGGTATGTATCGTATCGTGGACTATGTATCAAGGTATGTATTGTATCATGGCATATGTATGTTACAGTGTCCTATGTATCAAGGTATGTACTGTATCGTGGCCTATGTATCGAGGTATGTATCGTATCGTATCATGGCCTAAGTATCGAGGTATGTATCGTAGCCTATGTATCAAGGTATGTAGCGTATCGGCAACTTCTCAATGATACCCAGTCCTACAAAACACGTATTGCTACAACAACAAAAATAAAAACGCTTATTGACCAATGAGTCAAAAAATGACTAAATCATTCAATTTTTTTCTCAAATCAAGGTGGAATTCTAAAAAAAAAATCTCACTTGTCTAATGAAAATGTTGCTTTGCCTGGAATGTTCCACAGTATAGCATTAAACCAACTTATCTATCTCCACGGAGTCAGATTTGCGGAGAGGCACCCCTGCACATGGTTTGTTCCATGAAAATGTTTAGCAATAAAACAACATCGTAAATGAACAAATCCAAGATAGATACACAGTGGAACATTCCAGGCAGAGCAACGTCTCCCACGGAAACAAACAAGAAGTCCACAGAAGTCCTTTAAAAACATGGAAGAGAAGAACTAATCAAATCTACATGAATGAAACACCACAACTCCAATATTTAGTACGATACTGACAGGAAAACTACATTGTAACATTCTTAAATCTGACGTAAGTTGACATAGCAGAATATCGTCCGTTTAAACTTGTCAGCAGAAAAAGCGAGAGCTGATGAGAGGAAGCAAAGAGCCAGTCCAAACAGGAAGTGGGGAGATTTATGGGACCAGAGAGACTAGACCAAAGACGCCCGCTGAGAGGAGAGGGGACTATAAACATCGCTGAGCTGTTATTGCGGACAAATTTTACACAAAAAGCGAAAACTGGACCTTTCATTTAGATTTTCAAGGACAATCTCCAGCAAATAATTCTGCCATTTATGAGCAGTTTAAAGGCTACAAATAATAGATCTTTGTGGTGAGTTGCTTCGATGTGGGTTTCTGGTAAGGACGCACTCATTCAGCTCCTTCTGTTCCGATACCGATGTCGATATTTTGGCTTTAAGCATGTTGATCCATGATATCAACCGAAACTAGAGCAAAAAAGGGGAAAAAAATCTATATATGTCATTTAAAGTCACCACAGAACAGCTACAGAACACAGACGTTTTGTTGTAGTAAATAGTTTTATTACATCAGTTTATAGCCCAAAATTGGATACTGACTAAACCGATATCTTAGAACCGATATCCAATCCATTAACATTTTTAATCGCTGCTGATATCTGATAAAAATGTCAAATCTGTGCATACCTAGATCCTGAATTACCACCTGATGACTAGGGCTGGGTATCATTAAAAAGTTGCCGATACAATACATACCTCGATACATAGGCTACGATACGATACATATCTCGATACAGTGATCTTTTGATTCGATATGATATGTTTCAAATTGATTCGATACGATTCAATAAAAAATAAAGGCCCCCCGGCTCCTCACTTCTTCTCCGTGCACTGATCACTGTTTTTCCTGGTTTAAAACTTGAGTACCATATTTTTCAGACTATAAGGTGCACTTAAAATCAATTAATTTTCGACAGTGCGCTTTATAATCCTGGTGCCCCTTATACATTAATTCTGGTTGTGTTGACTGACCTCGAACCAATTTTCACATATTCCACTGAGTCATGTTCTTTAGTCCGACAGAAGCTGAACCACATCAGCGCACAAGGAGCGAGCTGT